GGCTAGCGGGCTCCCGTTAGCAGTGAGCGCGGCTACAAGCATCCCTGCAGGAAGGTCTCAGGTGTGGTACGAAATAGGTGAGTACATAGGGAAAGTAGGCTCAGAGCTCTTGCTCGTGGGTGGGGAAACAAGCTGCGGTTGCTGGTGCACGTTCGTTAGCAGAGCGGCCCCGCTTAGCTGCGGCCCCAGCAGAGAGCAAGGCAGCCCGCGAGCAGCTGTGGCGGCACGCGCAGCCCTTCAGCCACTGCCGGGGAGATCCAGGCTCTTCCTGGGGGAAAGCTGGAGCCCTGGTTTGCACGCACAGGGAGTTTGAGCCTCCACACTGCTCAAACAAATTACGTTCCCAAGAAAAACACCCACACCCCGAGCTGTGGAGAGCGCTCTTCTGTTCCAAAGAGCCAAAGTCTAAATCAAACGTAGGGGTTTGCTGCTCTCCTGAACACACAAATGAGAAAGGACAAAAGGCGTTTCAAATCCATGTTTTACTTATTTGCCTGTATCAGGTTGCAGGGTATGCACTACGGTGGCAGTTTAGAGGCAGAAGGGGGTCTCTTCTTCACTCAGCCGTCACCTCTCAGCCTTCACTTCCCTCTTCCCAAAACAGTAATGGCCAAGGAAACACACAAATATAAATACAGGACAGGAAGTTCTCCACAGGCCAGGCAGCTGAGCTGGCTGTGGCTGTACAGTATCAGTACACCTAGTCCAGGTCATTGGCAGCTTCTTCATCTGTTAGACTCTGTCCGTTCACAGCCGGTGAATCGTACTGGCCTTGTGATAAATCCTCAAAATCCTGACTCATGGTTGGAGAGATAATGTCAGGGCTTGTGTCACAAGACTCCGTGCTCTGCTCAGAGGTAGCAATGGTGGTTGTCGTGCTTTTTGGAACAGGGTCAAAATCATCATCGTCATCTAGAATCGGAGATTCGTGGATGTCTGAAAGGGAAGACGCAGCAGTTAGTTTTACTGCTTTGGCCATCTGTGACAACAATACACAGCCCGTGTAACACCAGGTATGAGAGACGCTCTAGCATAAGCACAGCAAAGAGTTTGCTCCCTTCTAATTCAAAGGTTTGACTGCTTGTAACAGTAATCAATAGATGGCTACTAATTTAGGTGACATCAGTTATTTGTGGCTTTGTAACCTCTTAAAAGCATATTTAAGAGAATAAAAAAAGCTCTCCAAACTTTTCACTGCAGCTACCATGAGCTGGCACATGCCTGGATGTCTCATTATTTCTTTCTTTAGAGGGGTCTCAACCCCAGAAAGTTGAGCCATGTGTCCTTAGGAAAAGGACTCCTCACGCTGAAAGCAAGCTGACATAAAAGCTGCAAGTCAGATTTAATAACAAAGAATCACTCACTGCTGAAGGCTTCTGGGTACTGTTTAGCTAGCTTCCCTTTCAGCGTCCTGCAAGAGCAGAGGAGAAAAAGAGAGCCAGGCTTACGCACGAGCTGACAAATCCCCCCCAGCGGCGGGCTGGTGAGAGCAAACCTGCCCTCGGGGGTCGCTCCAGAGCTGACCCGCATCCCTCATCCTCTGACGCCCGGCTGCCAGACCAGCAGGCGCCTCCCGCTTTAGTTAGCTCTTTGGGGAACGTTGCGTCTTCCCCGTCTGTTCCCCAGGAAGCCCAGCACTGTGCCAAGAGGCTTCCTGCCCTCGGAGTCAAAACTTCCAGCGTTAGCCAGAGCTCCCACAGCTTCCCTGTCAGGAAATCGGGTACTTCTGCAAACCCCAAGTTTCATAACCCTCCTGAGCAGCGCGAGCGCTGCGTCCCTCCCTGCTGACGCAGAGGGAGTGCAGAGAGTCACTGGCCCGGCTGCAAAGCCGGGATTCCTAAATTGGGATTCCTAAAGCTCCGAGCTCAGCAACCAGTGCCTCTCCCCACACCCACGTGTTTGCTCTGCTATGTGTTTTTCTCTCTCCACCTGTTTTTGGTTTCTGTGACAGTCCAAGATCCTTCATACAGGGGTGTCACATTTTAATACCCCTCTCTGCAGACAGCAGCGCTCCGTGATCTCTCTAGGTGAAGAGAGACCCTTTGGTTTCTGCATCTTCTCTCTTCCCCCACCACCCCCGGGGGACGTTCCCAGCCCCTTGACCCTGGCCCCACCTGATTCTTCGGAAGATGCTATCCAGGTCCTTTTTCATTTCAACGAGCGTCTTCGTGTGGTGCAAGAACCGCTCGTTCATCTGCTGCATGCGGACGCTGGACAGGTTATTGAAGTTGAGCAGCATCTCGTTGGTCTTCTCGAATCGATCCAACCTGCTCAGAGCGAAAATGGGGCTCTGAAGATGCCTGGCGAGACCGCCCCCCCCCCCCCCCAGCACGGCTCCCCGCCCGGGCCGTGGCCGGCGCC